TCCAAGCTTTCTTCACAGATCCAATGAATGTAATAGACTCCTACCTAACAAAGCATCCTTTCCCAGAAATGCCAAATGTCCCAATTCTTGTATCTCTTCCCGTTCCGATTCATGGTCCTGGACATACTCATGAGTTAGTGCATTATTCACAAAACCTGCATGTGGCGTTTGAGGAATGTTTTGTAAGAGTGATTCTCCTAACTCTTATATTTGCACGTTTGCAGGTCTAGACATAACACGTAGAAGCAGGGTACCAGTTCTTTTCATCACTCTATAGCAGCAGTGCTCAAAGGATGGTCTGAGGATTCCTGGGAGTTCTGGAGCTCTTCCAAGGAGTCTGTGGGGTCAAAACCATTTTTCGAATACAGGTTGTGCAGCCCTAACCTGAGAATCCAAAATCTGAACTGCTCCAAATTCTGAAACAGTTTGAGCCTCAACATGACCGTCCAAGTGGAAAATTCTACACAGGACCTCATGTGACAGGTCATAGTCACAATGCAGACAACGGTTTCATGCTCAGAATTATCAAAAATATTCTATAGAATTACCTTTGGGCCACATGTATTATGTGTATATGAAGCCTAAGTGAATGCTGTGTTTAGACTCGAGTCCCATCCCAAGATACCTCATGGTATATATGCAAATATTCCCCCCCAAAACTCTGAAAACCAAAACATTTCTGGTCCCAAGCATGTTGGATAAGGGATATTGAACCTGCAATGCTAAGATATAATTTGCTCTGTTCAGGGTAATTCTCTCATGAGTGTACAGTGGAGTTTTCCAGAGGCCACTCAGTGTGTGATGTCATCATCACTCTGAGGACTAATGGAATGTGTGCTTGTGTGTTGGGTTTTAAAAGTTATCAGTTTTAATTTCTAATTTGGCAAAATTGATAGTTATAATTTACATAAACAAAAGGACTCCTCAAAAGGGGTCTTTAGGGTCCTCAATAACTTTTTTATTTTTTACTATCTCCAGTAATGGGTACAAGCAAGGTCCTCAATAACTTTTAAAAGTATAAAGGAATTCCAACTTCAAAAAGCTCAAGAGTTGCTTGATATTGCTTTAAGCAATTTTCATGGCATACAGGATAGCACTTTATATGATGAAATAAAACAGTTTTGTAATCTTTTTGTGACAGTGATAATTTATCATACGCCATCCCATTATTTAGTTTGTACATAGCATATAAAATCCATGGTTTAGTTCTGCATCCAAGTATTACTTTGAGAATTCTGTTGATATTTTTAAGCCTTAGCAGAGTGAAATTCACAATTTTTCCAAATTGAAATTGATTTTTAAAAACTAAGAACTATAATGACTCAAGAAAGTTGTCTAATTAGGTATGACTGTCAACAGAAAACAAATTATACAAAATTGCAATTACAACTGGGTAATTGGTGGCTTTGCTGTGGCAAAGCAAGAAAAATAGTTTTTGCTGAAAAAACATGTAAAAATTTATGAAGTATGTATATACTTATTACTCAACCAAACATGGCCCACCCATCATGTGCAATAATAACTAAATTTAGTGTTTTAAATTCTGATGTTTCGTCAATTTTTGGCTATATAAAAACCATAGCTTTATACATTTTTAAGTTTTGTCATTATGAAAGTATATTGTCAAAGTAGACAGGCAGGACATATTTTATTGAACAATTTATTATTCCAATGGATAATTTTTCAATATTTAGACACATGGTATGACAACTTGCCTGGGTCCTGTGAAAGTTAAGGTGTGCCTAGTACTATGGATTGGGTCATTTCTTGCAGAAGTGGGCAAGAGTTTCCAGAATGTTTAGGTCCTGCATCAACCATTTCTTACTCTAGCTGGTAGTTTGGCCACTAAGACAGACAAAGGAAGGTGTAAATCCACACCGATTAGCTTGAATCATAGTGCTTGCTGCCTTTTCTGCAGCTCTGGAATTCCCATCTGTATACATGGAACCTCTTGAATCGTGCAGTGTAAGGCAAACATTTGGCATACGCAGAGGCTGGGACAGGGAAACCACACTGGGACCATGCCTCCCATCCCACAGCATACCCACATGGATTTCAAGGGTGAATGTGAAGTCCTGGGTGAGGAGGAAGAGCAAAGCTTGTCACTTGGGTAGGATTGTCCTTCAGGGTGGCTGACCCAGCTCCTCCCAGGAGGCTGAGTTCTCGGGTTGTGACCAGCTCCGGGGTGCTCCAGGCCTGAGGCATCCCATGGCTTGGCAGGTGCAGCCAACGAAGCTCGACTTACCCAGTTATGGTTTCTCAACACAGGCTGCTTGTCAGGCCAGGAAATCTGGTCCTTCTCCCTCCCACCATCTACACCCCCTCCCCGCCCACCCCAGCTCCCCTGCCCAGGTAAGCCTGTCGGAAGGCTTTTCCCAGACCTCAGCTCTCTTTCTAGGGGCTGCTTAGGCAAAGAGCAAGGTAGACAGCCATGGGTAGATGATGCAGGGTGGCAGCCAATGGGAAGGCAGCGTAGGGTTGCCTTTGCAGAAGGAGATGTGGCAGAGGAAGCCCGGTCCCTTGCACCTTATCCACGTGGTCAAGCTTGACCTCCCTGTCTATGTTGTATTCTTTTCTCTCCCAGCACAGAAGGAAGGATGGAAAAGTGAAGGAAGAGTGACCTGTCAACCTCTGCTGTCCCTTCTGCCCAACAGGAGTATAAGACACACATCAGTTGAGGGTTACAAGGATAGAGAGCGCCATGGCCATGGGTCCTCCTTTTCCTCCTCTTCCTCTCCACTTTCCTCTAATAAGCAGCCCACACTGGGTCTGCACATGGTTGGAAAGGTGATGCCACTGTCTATCCTGCAGGCATCTCATGGCAGGATACTTCAAGGATGTAGGCGCCAGTCTTCACCTGGGTGAAACTCAGAAATATTTGGAAACTCACTGGACAAGGCAAAAGGGGCCAAGGTGGAAAGGTAGAGACAAAGGCAGAGCGCGTGTGTAGGGCAGATGAGTTGCATGAGGCCCAGCCCTGAGAGTCCTGGGTGGTGGAGATGCTAGGGTGTGGTGGGGTGAGGCCAGAGGCTGAGGCTATACCTTGTAAATTCAGTTATCATGAGCACCTACTACGCGCAGACCTTATTCCCTGCAAAAGTGTCCCTTTCCTCACAGCACTTACAATTTTTTCAACAATATATATGCATTGACCATTTACCGTGTACCTGGCTCAAAGCGTCTCTCTGGTGGATAAATATAATTCTAAGACACTTACAATAAAGTGAGAGTCACGTGTGCACACAGATATGAACTGATTAACAGACTGGAATAAGTCATTTAATTTCTAGAGAACTTGAGTTTTCTCATCTATAAGGGAGTTTGACTATTTCTAACATACACTATCTACTTCCAAAAGATTTTGAAATAGTTTCCAAAAACACACATTTATAGTTTTGTTAAATTAGAATTAGAAAACTAAACAGTAAGTAGAAGAAGATAAACCAATGGAAGCGGGGAGGAGACAAAAGAAAAAAGCAAATATGAGGTCAGGTTGGGTTGAGAAGTTGGATGACAACTGCCCTAGCTATGTTGTTACTACAGTGGATCGTCAGATGTGATTTTTGAGCTTCTTGGCAGCCAAGGAGAAAAGAGAAACAAAGGGTTTATATGATTACCATCATGTAGCAAAATAAAACATCAGGTCTTCAGGAGAGAGTAAATCTTTCCTAGTAGTAAATACTGAAGATAATTTACTGTGTGTGCCCTTCCTTATATATGTCATGTAGATTACAATGCTGTTAGTGGTGGTTTTTCCAGGACAAAAAAAAATAATGCAGGTTTTCTTGTGGTCATTTCTTCTGCCAACCATCAACAGATGCCAAGCATATAACATTAAAATGGAAGTTGGCAGAAGGTATTTTTCCTGGGCAGCTAAGCTAAGTGATTCTAATGTATAGTTTTTTGCTTGTTTGTTTGTTTTGTTTTGAGACGGAGTCTCGATCTGTTGCCCAGGCTGGAGTGCAGTGGTGCGATCGCACTCACTGCAACCTCTGCCTCCTGGGTTCAAACAATTCAGCTTCTTAAGTAGCTGGGACTACAGCTATGTGCCACCATGCCTGGCTAATTTTTTGTATATTTAGTAGAGACGGGTTTCACGGTGTTAGCCAGGCTGGTCTTGAATTCCTGACCTCAAGTGATCCACCCACCTCAGCCTCCCAAATTGCTGGGATTGTAGGCGTGAGCCACCATGCCTGGCCCTAAATGTGTAGTTTTTTGGTGATGTGAACTGTTACTAGGATAGAACTCAGAATCCACAGAGAATCGGGTGTATAAGTAGTTTCTCTCATACCATCACCATCCCTGAGTATTGACAAATGTTTTCATTTTTGCCAAGCAGAACGGTGAAAAGTGATGTTTAATTTTAATTGTATTTTGCATTTCTTGAATTATGATTGGTATTAAACATCTTCCTATATGTTTATGGGCCATATATATTTCTCTTTCTGCAAACTACTTGTATTGGCAAAAGCTGCAATTACTTTTGCACCAACCCGATATATATTCTTTGACTTTTAATTGCAATCTTGGCTCACTGCAACCTACGCCTCCTGTGTTCAAGCAATTCTCCTGCCTCCCTCAGCCTCTCAAGTAGCTGGGATTACAGGCGCCCACCACCACACCCAGCTTTTTTTGTGTATTTTTATTAAGGATGAAGTTTACCATGTTTGCCAGGCTAGTCTCGAACTCCTGGCCTCAAGTGATCCATCTGCCTCGGCCTCCCAAAGTGCTGGGACTACAGGTGTCAGCCACTGTGCCCAGCAGCTATTTTTAAAAAAACTGCTTCAATGTCTTCATCTGGATAATGGAGATGGTATAATAGCACCTACCTTATAGGGTTACTTACTCTGAGAATTAAATGAAATAATCCATGTACTTAAAATAGTGTCTAGCACATAGTAAATGATCATCAAGTATTAGCAATTAAAATCATTGTTTTTTTCTTATTCATTAGTATGAGTTTCTTTGTAAATTGTGGAAATACCCTTTGTTATATTTTTCTCAGTTACCGGGAAAACATTTTAATGGTAATTTTCCATACCGAAGTTAAAAACTTTTTCAGTGTGGTTGAATGTATCAGTCTTTTCCTGTATGACTCTGGGTTTTCCATCTTGATTAGAAAAGCATTCCCAGTATGCTATGTGGGTGATGGGTTTGATGGTACCCCAAAATGCAGAATCCTGTAATATACCTCATAACAAACCTACACATATACCCCTTAAGTCTAAAATAAAAGTTGGAAAAAAAGAAAGGCTTTCCCATTACAAAATATAAATCAGTTTACCCATACTGCCTCATAGAACTTACACAGTTTTATTACACTTAAACCTTTGATCCAAATGAAATTTGTTTTGTTTCCATTTTTGCGATCCCCTTCCAACAATAATCCAGGCATCCCAACACCATTGATTGAATATTCTGTTTTCTCCACTGAGTTGAATGGACAGTTTTGAATCTTTCGCTAAAGTTCTGCAGCCCTTTCCCTAGCTTAAGTTCCTTTTGGCTGTAAAGTGTCAGGATAGATGCTGGCCCACTGGATGAGGCAAGCATGAATGTGGAGTAGGGGAAAGAGGTAGAGCAGGGAGCAGAGGCTCTAACTCTCTGTACCATCAGCTTCATGAGTGATCTCAACAAGTCATTTCTGCTTTCTGAGCCTCCGTCTCTCTCTCTAAAATGAGGAGAGACTAGTTGTTTTCTAAGGCCTCTTCAAGTTTGAATACTGTTTGATTCTAGAGATTGCAGAAAGCAAGTGTGCAGGACTGAGTGAGCAGGAACTGAAAATGAAGGCATCCGTGGTATTTGTCAGTCTCTTCTTTGCTGGTCCTGCCCTCTCCCACCGCTCTCCTGTCCAAGGCCCAGGGGCCTGGGAACCAACCAGACCTTAGCCCCAGCAGGGGAGGGCAAGACTCAAGAGAAGCTACTGGTTGAGGGACAGCAGGCAGACAACACAGGCCCTGAGAAAGCCAGCCTGTGCCAGCGCCACTAGAGTCTAACCACCTTCAAGGCCCTAGACCTATCCCAAGAGAAGAAGGGCTGAGTAGGACAGGGAGGCACTGCTCTGAAGGTGGGGCCTGACTGTAGGAATACACACATGCATGCACACACACACACACACACACACACACGCACACATCACCTCACCCCCTGATGCAAACACACGAAGGGGGGCAAAATTACTTAAGCTTTGAGGTGAGACAGAGCTGGGTTCAAAGACAGAGCTTGCTCCACCACTTAATCTGTGTGACCTTGGCAAGGTATTTAACTTCCAGAGCATCCTCAAGAATGAATTTCTCAGGATTTTTGTGACAACTCAATGAATCCTGACACAGGGGCTGGGACACAGCAGGAGGCCACTTCAGAATACCCCATGTCCACTCCTGCTCCCTCTCTCTCTGTCCTAGATGCTTGGTCTTTGATAAGGCCATAGCATGGTGCAATAGAAAGAGATATTGGCCTTGGGGTCAGACCACCCTGCATTCGAATCCCACCCATGCAGATTCATTAGCTCACACAAATAGAGCACTCGGCATGGCGCCTGGCCCACAGTGGGCACACTATAAGTGGTATACATACTACTGCTAGGTCCATCTTCAATGAGCCCAGGAGCTCACTGAGAGCAGCATCCAAGCAGGTCCTGGTAGCACAGGGTGTTCAGACCTGGAGGGAACAAGGCCTGAGTCTGAGAGATTCACAAACAAATAAAGGCTTAAGACTGTCACGAAGTAATGATCCGACAGCCCCACTGGGAGTCTTGACACTGACTCATCCTCATGTTCAATTCAGTTCTAGACAGCCGTCACAGACCCATTTCCTGGCCTACACCTGCCATTCCCAGCCAGTCAATAAGCCGCCATCAATAAGGTTGCTGGATAAAATCTAGGACACATGGTTACATTTGAATTTCAGATAAATATTGAATGATGTTTCAGTGTGAGTGTGTCCCAAATACTGCACAGGGCACACTTGCACTAAGACACTCTTATCTGAAATTCAAATGTAATTGTGTGTCCTGTATTTTTATTTGCTGGAGATGGCACCCCACTGGTCACTCACCGCTTATATTAGTAACAACTTACATTTGTGAACACTTAAGAGACCATTACATCAGCTGCACGACCCTCTTTGCAGTCAAGGTCACATCCGCAAGCTGGTACGTTCCTCCTTTGAACAGGTGGCACATGATGCTGTGGCAAGGGGGCGTGCAGTCACTGCTGAGGAGGGCTGGGACGGGGCTCACTGGGAGTGGACAGGAGCCCTTAGTCAGCAATATCATCATTATTACCTGCATTTAACACACACACACACACAAACCGAAGTGCATTCATTTAACAAACATGTACTAAGCTGGGTGCTTTTCAAAGCCTGTGAGGAGAGATTAACTTACGTGCACAGAGTCTGCTGGCTGGTGGACGGTGGCCAGCCGAACTCTGCAATCCTAGGGGGAGGCGGTCAAATACTTCTCCGTCCTCTCTACCATGCCAATGCTGGAGAATTTCTAACAAGACATTGCAGGTGTGTCTGAATCTTCTGTGTATGCGTTTGTCTCCCTCCTCATCCAGCTCCACTCCTCTCACCTGCAGACTATAGGCTGGGAGCCCCAGCAGGCAAAGTCAGTCTTATTCACATCATAATTCCACTGAGGAGCTCCCAGTGGGTGCCCAGTAGTTACAGGGAGTTATTGACAGGGGTCCCCTCTTTACTAAGCCACTGCTTCTTTGAGACCAGGGGCATGAATGACGCTGGTTACATACTTTCCATGGCCCTGGTCTTCCTTCGGGTCACCGAGGGCCGCTGGACGGAGTCAAGAAGAGAAGGGCAAATACTTGGGTGGGACAGAAGAGGAGAGGCTGAAGACAGGATTAAGGTGGTAAAGTACAAAACACATACCTACGCAGATAACATTGTTTGGGCATCAGCAGTGCTGGCATTTGCTGTGATGGGTGGGTCCCTAAAATTAAAGTTGATTGGATTGGGGAAGGGGTCAGGGCAGGGACAGGTTCACAGTCAAGATACTCAGGGCAGTGCTGAATGCTTCTTAGAACATTAGCACGTAGGAACAGCATTCCATGGCGGGTCCCTGCCCCTCACCCCACCCCAGCCCTTGGCCACTTCATAAGAGCCACACGGCCACCTTGCCGGCATGCTCCCCTTCCAGGCCTTTGCTCTTGCTATTGAATGCTTGGAACGCTCTTCCCTCAGATGTCACTCAGTTGGCTCCCTGCTCTTGCTAGTCCCCTTCTCAACGAAACCAGACCCGCCCATCCTGCTGAGTCCTAGAACTGCCCCATCCCTGCCCTCCTCACCACCTCATCTAGCACACTTTCCCCTGTCCACAGCATCTCTAACTTCTAGAACGTATTTATTTGTTATTTTTGCTCACTGATGTATCCTGACTCTGCAGAATGGCCCCTGGCATGGTGGGTGCTCAGTAAACGTGTGTTGTGTTGAATTTGTTGAACTGAATCTGGAAGGACCTTGACCATCTAGTTGCTTCTAACCAGGTGTGCTATCCCAGTTTCTGGTGGAACATGTTATGTTAAAACAGCCCAGCCAGAGTCCCTACCCCAGGCCTCCCGAGTCAGCTTGATGAGCTCCCCAAGGCTTCAGCTGTTAAAAACCCCTTCTCTGATGTAGTCTCCCCGCTTAGCAAATGGCTTGCCGAGGCTCCCAGGGGCCTGCTTTGTCCAAGGTCACTGTGTAGCTGGGGGCTGAGCCAGCTATCCCCAGTTCTCTGAGCCGTGGAATGCTGCTCCTACACGCTAGGGTTCTAAGACCCATTCAGCACTGCCCCGAGTATCCTGACTCTGCACCTGTCCCAATAGGAATTGGAGCCCATTCCAGCTCTTCAGGTGGATCGAACAGCACCTCCTAGGCCAGTCTGGGGGACCCTCAGTCCATCATCATCAGAGAGTAGTGCCTACCTCACACTACTGTTCTCTGTCTAGTTTTCTCCCAGCCTGGTGCCTAGCACATAGCTGGAGCTCTGTGAATGTTTGCTTCTATTGTTTTCTGTCTTATTGTTGGTGAGCAGATAGGCGGGGACCTTGGTCCAGTTCATCTTCATCTCATGTTCTCCGGTGAGGCTGAGCAGGCACAGGGCTAGAGAAGTGAGGAATGGAAGGACACCCCTGCCTCTCTCACTACGACCTGAGTTTCAGAGCAACAGCCCGTGACAGCGAGAGAACGGGCTTGTCTATTGTTGTGTGGTCTGAGCCAGTCTCATAACCATTTTGTTTCCCATCTTGTAAAATGTGGCTGGCACCCAGGGCGGACACGAGGCTCTCACCTGCTGAGGTATTGCTGGAGGGTCACCAAAGAAACCCAAGGCTGCACTCTTGCTCAATGCATCCCATGGCACCCCCACCCAAGGACAAAGTTCATTTCCTGGGCCTGGAATCCGAAGTTCTTCCACCTTGGCCCCAGTCCCCAACCCCTTGCCTCATCTGCTGCCACTCCTCTCTACACACCCTTCACTCTGGCCACAGTTAGTCACACCTGAGCAGGCCACACCGTTTCACATCTCCACACCTTTACACAAACCGTTCCCTCTGCTAGGAATGTCCCCTCCCTTTGCTACCCTGAGAATCACAGCATCACCAGCCTCTGCAACATGCTGCTTCCTGGTCTGTCTGTATCTGGTGTGGAGTCCCTCGGCCTGGGTTACACCCCTGGCTCCACCACCTACCTGCTGAGTGACTGCAGGCAAAGTTCTCTACCCTCTCAGCCTCAGTTTCCTTATCTGCAAAATGGAGAAGATAACAAGACCATCCTCAGGGGTGTTGTAAGGATGAACTGAGATCATGTGGGATCTGGTCCCTTCCTGGCACACACGAGGTGTAAATGATGGCTGTTAGTGCTGCCCTCAGTGTCCCTAGCAATACCTCACTCTGCCCAGCTGCACTCAGGATCTCTGCCCTCTAAGATGACCCAAGGACCACCCAGGCCAGCTGACTCTGGGGAAACACAGGCATGGGGAGCTTTCCTGTAGTCAGCCTTTCTCTCTCTCTTTCCCGCCCTCCCTCCTTCCCTCCCTTCCTTCTTCCCCCCCCCCCCCCACTTTCCCTGTACCTTGCCCTCACCAGCACGGCCACCACCTGCTACGACAGGATTTTGCTCTGTCAACTCAGGCTGGAACTGCAGCCCTGACCTCCTGGGTTCCAGCGGTCTTCCTGCCTCAGCCTCCTGAGTAGCTGGGACCATAGGCACGTGCCACCATGCCCAGCTAATTATATTTATTTAATTTTTTTTGTAGAGGCAGGGGTTGGGGTGAGCGGTCTCACTATGTTGCCCAGACTGGACTCCTGGCCTCAAGCAATCCTCCCACCTTGGCCTCCCAGCATCAACCAGCCCTTTCTGATTAATGATTATTGTAGAGAACTATAATGGCAATGGAAACAGAACTCACCGAGAACAGCTGTGTTCTTAGGCAAGGGTCTGGGTCACAACAGGGGTTGGGGCGGTCTGGGGAAGGGGAGAGACTACAGCTGCAATAGGGGTTGCTCCTGCCATGTACCAGGCTTGACTGTGCTCCAGCCCTGAGGGGAAGTGGTAGGGATGGCCCTGCTCACCTTCTGGTTTGATCTTCCCATCTGTCAAGGCCTGCAGGAGACATCACCATCACTCTCTCTCTTCTCTACATCAACCTCTAGAGGACAGAGGGCTGTGGAGTCAGGCTATACTGGTTCAGGTCCCTGCCACGCCTCTTTCTAGGTGTGTAACTTTAAACAGATTGTTCAACCCCGTGCCTCAGTTTCTTCCTCACCTCTAAAGTGAAGACAATAATGATTCCTGCTTCACTGAGCTGATAGGAGGATTAAAGTGTCATCAAGTCTTTAAGATAGTGAGCACAATGCCTGGAAGATAGTAAGCACTCAGGAAATGTAAGTTATTATTAATCATTTCCCTATTCCGGGGATGGGGAAATAGAAGGAAAGAGAAGTAACTTGACCAAAGTTCTTCAGCTTGTAAGTGGTGGAGCCGGGATTCCACCCATGGGCTGTTTGCCTCCAAAGCCAGACAGAGTTCTCTTAATTTTTATGTTCCTTGTAATCGCCCTCACTCCCCAAATTTAAGCTGGAAAAACAATTTTTTTTTTTTTTTAAACAGAGTCTCACTCTGTCACCCAGGCTGGAGTGCAGTGGTGCAATCTTGGCTCACTGCAACCTCCACCTCACTGGTTCAAGTGATTCTCCTGCCTCAGCCCCCCGAGTAGCTGGGATGACAGATGCATGCTGCCATGCCTGGCTAATTTTTGTATTTTTAGTAGAGACAGGGTTTTACCATGTTGGTCAGGCTGGTCTCCATCTCCTGACCTCAGGCAATCCACCCACCTCGGCCTCCCAAAGTGCAGGGATTACAGGCGTGAGCCCTGAGCCTGGCCTAGAAAAACAATTTTTAAAAAATACCCTAACTGGCCAGGCGCAGTGGCTCACCCCTGCAATCCCAGCACTTTGGGAGGCTGAGGCAGATGGATCACAAAGTCAGGAGTTTGAGACCAACCTGGCCAACATGGTGAAACCCCTGTCTTTACTAAAAATGCAAAAAATTAGCTGGTTATGGTGGTTCTAACCTGTAATCCCAGCTGCTCAGGAGGCTGAGGCAGGAGAATCGCTTGAACCCAGGAGGCAAAGGTTGCAGTGAGCCGGGATCACGCCACTGTACTCCAGCCTGGCACCAGAGCAAGACTCTGTCTCAAGGAAAAAAAAATACCCTAACTATAATGGCAATGGGTTGAAATATTTCAAATATATGTAAATCCATGAGTTCGTGATAAAAATTAATGATCATTTTCAGAGATGCTAGGGAACTCGCTCATTATTTTGAAAGCAGTAGGGTTTTCAAGCCTCTAGATCTAGGAATGCAATCAAACTCCAGACTGTGGGAAATTCTACAAATTTCCTCAACAAATAAAGTGTAAGGAGGGAAAAGAGAAAAATGGGGACGTATAATTTAAAAGATGCTTAAGGCTGGGCGCAGTGGCTCATGCCTGTGATCCCAGCTGTTTGGGAGCCTGAGGCAGGTGGATCACAGGATGTCAGGAGTTTGAGGCCAGCCTGGCAGACATGGCAAAACCCTGTCTCTCCCAAAAATACAAAAATTAGCTGGGTGTGGTGGTGTACATCTGTGATCCCAGCTACTTGGGAGGCAGAGGCACGAGAATTGCTTGAACCCAGGAGGCAGAGAGGTTGCAGTGAGCCGAGATCACACCACTGCAGTCCAGCCTGGGTGACAGAGATCCTCCTGTCTCAAACATAAATAAATAAAAGAGACTTAAGGTATGGTGACTCATGACTGTAATCCCAGTGCTTTGGGAGGTTGGGGTGGGAGGGTCGATTGAGGCCAGGAGTTTGAGACTAGCCTGGGCAACATAGTGAGACCTCGTCTCTACAAAAAATTAAAAAATTTAGCCAGACATGAAAAGGAAAAAAAAAAAGAGAGAAAGAGACTTAAGAAACATTAACCATTTGCAATACAGTATATGGACTTTATCTGGACTCGAATTTAAACAATTGTATAAACGAGAAAACTGGAGAATCAAAACAGTTACTAAGTATTTAATATTAAATTATTGTTCTTTTTTAAGTGTAATAATAACAGTGAAGCCATTTGTTAAAGTCCTCTTCTCTTAGAGACACATCTGAAATAGTTACAGATGAAATGCTTCAATATCTGAGATTTGCTTCAAAAGAACCCAGGGTGTATGGCTGGGCTAGAGATGAAACTCAATTGGCTGTGAGTTGGTAATCATTGAAGTGGGGTGATGAGCACATGAGATGAATATATTACCCTCTCCACTTTTGCATATGTTGGAAATTTTCCATATTAAAAGTGAAATAAAAGTCTGAATGATGTAAAACCTCTTTTTTTTTTTTTTTTTTTTTTTTTTTTTTGAGATGGAGTCTTACTCTGTCGCCCAGGCTAGAGTACAGTGGCGCCATCTTGGCTGGCTCAGTGCAGTCTCCGCCTCCCGGGTTCAAGCGATTCTCCTGCCTCAGCCTCCCGAGTAGCTGGGATTACAGGTGCACTCTACCACGCCCAGCTAATTTTTGTGTTTTTAGTAGAGACGGGCTTTCACCATGTTTGTCTCAAACTCCTGATCTCATGATCTCCCACCTTGGCATCCCAAAGTGCTGGAATTACAGGCATGAGCCACTGCTCCTGGCCCAGCGTTCTGCCTTTATAACTGCTTCTAGGAATTGATCGTCTTCAAGGCTCATTTCCCCAACTGCAAAGGGAAAGTGTCTCATGGCGATCACCAACGCCCAGCGCTCACTAGGTGCCAGGCACTCTTCCAAGAACTTGATTTGTTTTCAGTCGATTTCTGAACCCCACTATGGGCAGGGGATTTGAATTGTGCCCATTGTGGAGGAAACCAAGGTCTAAAGAAGTTAGTGGTGGGTTGGGTGTGGTGGCTAACACCTGTAATCCTAGCACTTTGGGAGGCCCAGGCAGGAAGATCCCTTGAGCCCGGAAGTTTGAGACCAGCCTGGCTCACATAGGGAGACCCTATCTTTACAAAAACAATTTTTTAAAATAACTAGACAGGTGTAATTGTGCATACTGTGGTCCCAGCTACTTGGAAAGCTGACGCAGGAGGATGGTTTGAGCCCAGTAGGTCAAGGCTGCAGTGAGCCATGATCGTGCCACTGCACTCCAGCCTGGGCAACAGAGCAAGACCCCATCTCTTAAAAAAAGAAAAAAAGAAGTTGGTTAACTTGCCCAGGGTCACAAACAGCAGGTGGAGGAACTCCAGAGCCCTGTGCTCATGTTGTACAATAGGCTGCCTCTCGGTGTGCAGAGCTAACAGTGCGTCTGCATGAGCCCCTGTGGCATCTTTTCTGTATTCACAGGTCCTCCCCATCCTGCCACACCCCTACCTTGCCCACTGCTGGGCCAGAAGAGGCTTGCTAAGGGGGAGGGCTGTAAGAACTTGCCTGTGGTACCTTGCCTTGAGTCAACGTATGTGAGGAAGGTGCTCCTGAGAGTTGCTGACCCATGACTTAGGCAAGGGTGGGGCCCCAGCTTGAAGTGCAGGCAGAACCATGCGGGTGGAGGCAGCTGCATGTTTATCTCCTTCCCCTGGCTGCCCGGGAGCCCTTTACCATCCTAGCCTGAGTGTAGAGAGACCCACAGAGCTTTCTCCCAGGGGTGTGTGTGTGTGTGTATATGTGTGTGTGCGCGCGCGCATTTGGGGAAGGAGCGGGCTGGAGCTCTGAGGCCGACTGTGGGAGAGAAAAGAATCTGTTCGTTTGAAGGGGCACAGAGGGGCAGGAGGCTGGATGTGATGCCCCCAGCCTTCCTTAATGCCTGTTCTCAGCTGTCTCCAGCTGTCTCCAGCTACTGGGAAATGCATATGTGGTGTAGACTGTGGCCACCCTGCTCTCTGGGAGATTATAGTCTAAAGGATTTAAGGATTAAAATCTCCGAACACCCTGCCCTCTGGAGGCATCCAGGCAGGCCTGGCACCATCTCAGCACAGTTCTTTGCTGTCTGGATTCTCCCGCATCCTATCCCTCACTCACTCATTAACTCAGGCCATGTTCTCAAGCACTGGCTCTATGGCAGGCACCGCGCTAGGCCCTGACGGTGTGGTGGTGAATAAAGCACTGTCTCATTTCTCTCAGGTTGCTCACAGTCTATTGAGGATGAAGGAGCAAATGCCTGCTCCATGGTCCCCTCTTCCCAGGAGCCTGGTCAGGCTGAGTTGTGCAGCCCCCTCACATCCCTCTCTGTCTCCAGCCTGGTCTGGATTGATCCTTCTCCCACATGTCATAATCCCTCCCCAGCTGGATCTCCCGGTAGGTTTGCCTTTCAGAGAGTGGGGAATGGTTCCATCTAGATGAGCTCAGTTCAACAGAAAAAATATAACGTGAGACATACGTGCGAGTTACACACATAATTTAAATTGTTTTAGGCCGGGTGTGGTGACTCAGGCCTGTAGTCCCAGCACTCTGTCTGGGAGGCCAAGGTGGGCAGATCACTTGAGCCCAGAAGTTCAAGACCAGCCTGGGCAACATGGAGAGATCCTGCCTCTACAAAAAAAAAAAAAAAATTTACTAGACATGGTGGCATGTGCCTGCAGTCCCAACTACTCAGGGGACTGGGGTAGGAGGATCACCGAAGCCAGAGAGGTCAAGGCTGCAGTGAGCTGTGACCATGCCACTGCACTCCAGCCTGGGTGACAGAGCAAGACCATCTCCATAAATAAATAAATGTAATAGCCACATGAAAAAAATATATAAAGAACAAGTAAAGTTAATTTTAATAACATTTTATTTAACCCGATATACCTAAAATGTGATCACTTCAACTTGTAATCAATATAAAATACGATAACTATTTTGTATCTGCTTTTCATACTATCTTTGAAATCCAGGGTGCATTTCACACTGATAGCACATCTCAACTTGGGCTAGCTGAATATTAAGTACTCACTAACTACACGTGGCTAGTGGCTACCATGTTGGACAGAACAGAGCTAGATGATCAATCCTGGGATCTGGTCCTCTTTACTTAGTTTTGGAGGTGAAAACACAACTCCATTATCCAAGAAACAGGCTCCACCTCCCTGGAAGACTTTGCCAGGAAGAAGGGAGGCTGCAGCCTTGTGTCCCTGCCCAGAACTCCAGCCTGTGGTGCCAAGGAGGAAAATGGGCTGAGGCTGGACCAAGGGTGTGGTCCATTAACCAATCAGAGAGCTGAGCAGGGGTGCATCTGGGAAGCTCAAGGGTCCTACCTGCCTGTGGGCTCCTCTGATTTGGGCAAGAAAAGAGCCTGCAGACGCCACGCCCCTGCTCTGCCATCTCCTCCATTCTGAAGGCCTTTCCACCCACTCCTTCCACTGCATTTGCTGAAACGTCATCCTTAAAATGCTTAAGCTACAAAATTCGGCAAAGAAAGCAGTTATCACAGAGAAGAGACCAGAAGAAAACACACCTATGTTTTAGCCATGCTTTTCTCTAGGTTTTGGGACTAGGTAACTATTTCCTTTTTACTTTTTCTTCCTTCCTGCCTTCCTTCCTTCCTTCCTTCCTTCTTTTCCTTCCTTCCTTTCTTCTACTTCCTTCCTTCCCTCCTCCTTTCTTCTTTCTTTTCTTTTTTGAGAAAGAATCTCCCTCTGTCACTTAGGCTGGAGTGCAGTGGTGAAATCATAGCTCATTGCAGCTTCGACCTCCTGGACTCAAGCAATCCTCCCACCTTAGCCTCCTGAGTAACTAGGACTACAGGCATGTGCCATCATGCCCAGCTAAATGTTTATTTATTTATTTATTTTTGTAGAGACAGGGGTTTATCCGTGTTGCCTAGGCTGGTCTCAAACTCCTGGGCTCCAGTGATCCTCCTGTCACAGCCTCCTAAGTGCTGAGATTACAGGCTTAAGCCACTCTTCCCAGTCCCTCTTCTTTTTACTTTTCTACATTTTCTTTAATTTTTTTTTTTTTTTTTTTTTTGAGATGGAGTCTTGCTCTGTTTCCCAGGCTGGAGTGCAATGCCATGATCTCAGCTCACTACAACATTCGCCTTCTATGTTCAAGCAATTCTCCTGCCTCAGCCTCCTGAGTAGCTGGAATTACAGGTACCTGCCACCATGCCCAGCTAATTTTTGCACTTTTAGTGGAGACAGGGTTTCATCATGTTGTCCTGGCTTGTCTTGAACTCCTGACCTCATGATCAGCCTGCCTTGGCCTCCCAAGTGCTGGGATTACAGGTGTGAGCCACCGTGCCCGGCCTTCTTTAAATTTTCTTAAATTATGAACATATATTGACTACATATATAATTGGAAAAGTAATTTGCTTTATGAACATGTATTGACTACACATATAATTGGAAAAGTAATTTGCTTAATATACATTTTTTAAAGTCTTATCTGGTCTTTAACAACCAGTTAAATGCCAACTCCCCAGAGTTTGTGGGACGTCAGTCTGCATGGCATTCCTCTGCTGCAGCCCTTCCTCACTGCACAGCCCGCCCAGTACTGGGTTTAACCTGGACCTGTCCTGTCTCTTCTCCAGCATCTCCAGGGTGCAGCCTGGAACAGTGTCAGCCACCCAGCAGGGGCTGTCTCTGTGTTGTGGACTGAGTGACTGAAACCAGCTACAGTCAAAAGGCTCCAACTGGGCCCCTGGGCATGCTCATGCTCCAGGCTCTCTCCAGAAAAACTCTGCAAATCTCTCTCACCCCAGAGACTATCGGCTGCTCAGGGAAAGGTCTGTTTGAAAATGCAGCTGATCAAACACTTGCAACAGGCCCTGAGACATCTCCCAGATCTCGCTGTCACAAGTGCCGCAGAGGACAGGCTTCACAGCCTCAACTACACAGACATCGATGAAATATTTACGAGGCTGCTGGCTTGTGAAACAGAGCTTTGGTTGGGGAGAAAGGGAAGGGATGTGGCGCTCAGTAAGTACCTGTACGTGTCACCTCTCACCGTGCAGGGAGCCTCCCGGCTCAGTGAAGGAGCTGCTATTGACCTCATTTGACCTCATTTGCAGGTTGAGACCTG